CTCTCTCTCTCTCTCTCTCTCTCTCTCTCTCTCTCTCTCTCTCTCTCTCTCTCTCTTTCTCTCTCTTTCTCTCTCTCCACTGATAAAGTCCGCTCTTCAGAGTAACAAAGTCTCAGTCATTCGGGGAGCTTCAAGTTTCAAGTTACACTTGCTCAGACTGCTGGAAAGATGGACTTTTGCCCTTGCAGTTTTAAAAGTCCACTAGCTGATACTTAGTATCAGTTGTAGAAGTAATAATCAAGTGCATGCAACATTGAAATGAGAGAGAGAGAGAGAAAGAGAGTAAAAAGATGATACGCAGCATTGTAAAAATAAAAGCACTTTTCCATTTGGCAGAAGTGCCAAATGCTGTATTGTACAAAAAATAGGGCTACTTGAGAGTTGGCATGAGAAAAAGGGGTACAAAAACTGAAGGCTTTCAAAAAAGCGGCCAAAGACTGCTGACTAATGAGACTAAGGCAATCGACCACCACCACCGCCAACTGGTTATCACTGCACACTCTGGTAATGATGGTGATTAAGAAAAATGTAGAAAAGAAGAGAACTAGCTAATAACACCAACGAATGTCTGATGTAAATGATTGATCTGTTCACCGAAGGCGCAGTAATAGTATACTGAAAGCAACAGTTTAAACTTTTTGAGCTGAAACTGAAAAAAACTGGCATTTCTAAATCTAAATTGATGACTTTTGTAGTTGTAGTAGTAGTAGTAGTAGTAGTAACTATTTTTCAGTACCTTTCTACCTGTATACTACCTGTACTATATGGCCCACAAAAGTCTACAGAAAGCTTTTCACCGCTGGTTTTCTTTTAGTGTTGACCACTGGAACTAAGAAGAGAAAATTGAAAAAAGTTGAAATGACATCAACCGTTTTCAAATGACAGCCAGTGACAGTTATCATTGTGATCATCATCATCAGCACCACTGGGCATCTGTCTCTGCAGCAATAACTGCAACCACCACCACTTATCAACACGGCAAACTCCCTGACGGCGTTGTCAGGCAAACTTATGCCCGCAGACACACATTGGCACACTGTCGCCGTTGCTTATACTGGTGCACTGAAGCTACTGAAGCTACTGCCAGAACAAATGTACTAAAATGAAGAAAAAGAAGAAGAAGAAAGAAAGAAAGAAAGAAAATGACGATGAAAATGACGACCAAAAGTGCAGAGAGTATATAAGAGTAGCAGTCGGCAGTCCAGTCGGGCTTGTTCTCCTTCTTTTTTGGCTGCTTTTTTTGGCTACTGCACAGTTGTTTACTTTTGATAATTTATCATCGTCGCTGTTTTTCATTGATTAGTTTTACTTTCTGCAGCAAAGCATTCAGTCAAATTATATTTTAAAACTCTAACTTATTTAATCGTTTCAGTTTTTTCACTGCATTTTCATCAAATTGTTTTAAAACTTTCATGTTTTAATTTATTTTCTAAACACTGCTCAAACAAAAGTGATTTTTGGTTTAAAAAATATCACCTCATTTTTGACGGCCAGTTATATTACTTCTTTGACATTTAATTTTACACTTATAACTTCCATCAATGGCCCCATCAATTGCAGCCCGGCAAAGTAAGTGCATCATCCTCAAAAAAAAGTTTTCGTTCAGTGCCTACAGTAAATGAGTGAGTGATCAGCGGACAGTGTTTGTCGCAATTGATCAGAGTTGTCAGCTTGTTGCGATGGGGGCAAGTGGTGCTGGTGCTGGTGCAGTAGTCTCGGGTCTAAAAATAGACACATTCACACAGTTGACACACAGCAGCAGCAGCAGCAGCAGTTTTCACTAGTTGAGCTACTGCTGCTGCTTTTCCCCCCAGTTCTCCTCAATGAGATTGTAGCAGTAGTGGCAGCATTAGTACAGTAGTAGTAGTGCTTTATCATCACTTATCAGTTCAGTCTGTTAGGCTGTACCAGAATTGGGAAAAGAGAAAAAATCCTTCTGTTTTAAATAATGCCACCAGTTTTTCCTTTATTTTTATGCCTAAGAAATACTTCAACTACAGTTTTTAAATTTGAGTCATTGGGCAGTAACAAACAGATCAAGAGAAAGAGAGAGAAAGATAACTAATACTTCAATTGATAGAAGTACATCACTGAATGTCTAGCAATAGGTTACCCTTGTTGTACTGTAGCAACGGCTTTTTAGAAACGATTTTTTTGTATTATTAAATGGAAGGTTTCCATTTGCACCTAAAATGTAAAGGGCAGTTTAATTAGATAGATTTCCTAATTAGCTTCACTACTGGTCGTTGTATTTAATTTATTTTCAGTTTTTCCCTTTTTCTGAACTGTTGATGTGTTGGCAATCTTTTCATCTATCTGATCTAGTCACAAACAACTCTACAACAGAATGAGGACACTTGATTCTTGTTTTTATTAGTAAAAAACTTTCTGCCCAGACATCCGGACACTGCGCTCTAGCACTGGCCAGCAACAGCAACAGCAGCCACTCAAAAACTTCCGTTGTTGTCTATCAAAATGTTTGAAATATGTTGTTGTTGATGTTGTTATTGTCAGTCAGAGTTGTTTTTATTTACATTTAGAAATGAACTGATCAGTGATGATCATCAGTTTCTGAGCAGTCCTTTGTCTACCCTGGTGAGTGAACCTTTAAATCAGGGGAAGTTGTAGTTGCTGGGATCATTACTGGTAAAACAGCAAAGTAGCTGCTGTACGACTGCTGTTTTTGTTTTGTTTTGTTTTATCAAACCAATTACCACTAACACCAACACTTTGCACTTGTCATCAGTGCAGTTGCCACTCATGGCTGTGTTGCTGTGCAGAGAAAGCCAAAACAAGTGAAAGGCTAGCCAAACGGAAAAGGGGGCAAAAGGGGCAAAAGGGACATTGCTGCATTGATCATTTAATAGCTGCTCGCCCATTTTTATTTTTTTTCTAAACTCTAATTTTGGCAAAACTTAGATAGTTAGGGCAAAGATTGAACAGGCTGATTTTGTAGGTACTTTTCTACTGCTGTACAAAAGATATTTTTTTTCGTCGTACACGAGGTAGGAGTGAATGGTGGTGGGCTCATCACCACAATCAACTGCAGCAGCAGCAGTAGTAGTAGACAAAATCAGCGTTATCAATGTGTATGTGTGGTGCAGTGTATCACCCCAGTTAGTGATGGTGATGATGGCGGTAGTGGTGGTGGTCCCCAACCTTCTCACCATCTTGGCGGAGCTCAATGTTCAAGGGCGGCAACTCTGCCGCTAATCTATGCTTCTTTTCTACTTATTCACTCACTGAATTACATTAATTAAAAAAAACTGCACATCTAGAATAAAGTATTTTTATAAAAATGACAAATAGTACAAAACTAATTTTTCAATTGCGGTTAAATTATCAATTTAAACAGGAGGATATTTTTTCCTTTTTGTTGAGGCTGCCTGTTTGAACGCAAAAACCCAAACAGGCGACAAATATTGGCAAACTCTCTCTCTCTCTCTCTCTCTCTCTCTCTCTCTCTCTCTAAGTAGACGCAAAAGCTAATTTTCAAAACTAAATGGATAGCAAGAGAAAAAAGAAAAAGGAGATCACAAGAAAACATTGCCCGAATTGGCAATNCACCCACCAGGCCGATTGCATTGCAAACACAGCAGCAAGTGCTTACTGAATGCAAAAGTGATGTCGAGAGATGATGTGCTTGCTGTTCGATTTTGTTTGCTGTTTGCATCGGCCGTTGCTGCTGCTGCTGCTGCTTTAGCAACAGTTTGGGTAAACAGAAAAAGCAGACCTGCACTACTACTACTACTACTACTACTACTACTTCTATCTGATAATGAATGACAGCAACAGCAACAGCAGCAGCAGCAACAAGAAGATCAGCAGTGACACTCGTGATGATGAGTATCACTGTTGCTGCTGCTGCTGCTGTTGCCGTTACTTCAGAAAGAGTGCCCCTGGACGATTAAATCTCGCTCACGCGACGATCACTGAACTTCGGCAGCAGGACTGTGTTGCACTTCTTCTGTTCGACAGTGTGTTGCCTTCTCATCTCTGTAATCGCAGCTTGCTCTTTGCTTTCTCTGCTTTGTTCAGCCGCACAGAAGAAGAACTGTGTGACAGATCAGCATCCTCACACTCAGTGTCAGCTGAGTTGAACTGTCACTTCTTTTCATCAGAAAAAACTTTTTGTACTTAGTTTCTAACTGTACTCTCTTTTTCCATCTTCTTGATCCGCCTCCTTTGTGCTTCAGGATCAGTGGCAGGCATGACCACGTCCTCCTCAGCATCGTCTTCGGCAGCTATGGCAGGTCGAAACTTTAGCATTTCTGGAAATGCTCGTGAAAGTGGCGGAAATAGTTCACCAAAGCAAGTGGTGGTCGTCGGTGGTGGTTTGGTAAGTGCAATTTTTAACATCTAGTATATTTGATTGACAACTAATCTTTGTACAATTATATTATTAATGTAAAAACAGTAAAACCCCTTTAAAACGCTTTACTAAATAATAGTTTTTGGTTTATTCTTCTCTTTTTCTTTAACACTGTTCCAGGTTGGCTCGATGGTGTCGTGTTTTCTTTCACGTCGTGGCTATCAGGTAAGTGCTTATTTTCAGGCGGTATTGGTAGTAAACAATGTCAGCAGCAGCAGCAACAGCAATAGTACCTTTCAGTGCGCTTTCAAGTGCGCATCTTTTTCTTATCTCAGTGATGCTCTCTGAAGTCTTGCTCTTTGGCTATGACGCCACACTGCCACTGCCACTGCCACTGAACGACACCTTGAAGCCACCCCCTCTCCCTCTTTTTCTTTTTTTCTTATTTTGATGTAATCGTGATTGTCATCAGGCGCCAAGCTGGCTGGCAAAAACGGCAGCCAAAAAGAAGAAGAAACAAGAGAGGGTGATGATGCTATTTATATTGAGCCAATGTGAGGGTGATTGATTCAGCCAGTCAGTCGGTTTATTAGTAGTAACAGTATTTAACTCAGACAGCAGAAAGAGCTCACCAAGTGGCTAATTAGTGGATGGCAACAGCAGTCAAAAGAAGGAAGAAGGAAGGAAGGAAGGAAGGAAGGGAAAAATGACGACAGTAGTGGTGATGATGATTTAAATTGTATCTTTTTTCTCAGCAGTATCAGTATCAACAACAACAACAACAACACAAACTTTGCTGTTTCTAGGTAAAGCTTTGCTTGAGGTTGGGCAGAACCAGTTCCTGATGCTGTTGTTGTTTTTGTTGTTACCTTCGTTTCTCTTTTACTAGTTTCAGAACATCACTTGCTAATTAAACGAAAAATCATTAGCCACTAAGTGGACATTACTTATACAACAGCAACAGCAGCAGCAGCAGAAGTGAGAGGGTGATTTCAAAACAAACTTTTACAAAAACCTGCCAGTGACACATTGGCGAATCATTAATCATTGCACATTTTTAAAACCATTCGATTTCGTTAAAAATAGCCACAATTTCAATTAGCGGTACAAGGTTTACATAAAAAAAATCAAAAGTACTTTTCAGTTCAAAGTTTTTATTATTGCACTTATTATTGAAAAAACTGCTGCTCCTCTTCTTTTGATACTTTTCAAGGTACATTTAGTACAACCTTGAAATTACCACAAAAAACAGCAAGACTACTACCAGTCATCAGTTTAAGTAGCCCAACTGATTAGATGGCAAACTATCACCTGATCGAGTGTAGTACTAGTAGCCAATGCAATTTAGAATAGAGAGAGAGAGAGAGATCATATCACCAATTTGTACCTTTTTGGGTTTTGCGCTTAAACTAGCTAACTAGTTTGCAAAAGGAAAAAAATTTTTTAACTTACCACCTCTTCTTTTTCAGGTGGACATGTACGAGATGCGCGACGACCCGCGGAAGATGGTGCACGTCGCCGGGAAGTCCATCAACCTGGCGCTCTCTGAACGCGGCCGAACCGCCCTCCGGTCGCTCGGCCTCGAGGAGGAGATCCTCCAGCGACACTCCATCAAGATGTTCGGGCGGATGATCCACGACCCCAGCGGCAACTGTCGACCGATTCCCTACGGCCAGGGCCCCCACCAGTACATTCTCAGCGTCAGCCGCCGCCTCCTCAATGAGATGCTCATCAGCGAGGCGGAGAAGAGCCCCAACGTGCGCTGTCACTTCCGCCAGAAGATGGTCGGTGCCGATCTGGAGCGAGGCGTGCTCAGCTTCAGCCAGCAGACCGGTGGTAAGGGAAAGGTTGGCAGCAGTGGTCATGGCGGCGGAGATGATAACAGCAGCAGCGGAAGTGAAAACGTTTCCGGTGGTGGTGGCGACTCCCCGGAGCTTCCGGTGACCACGCAGGCGACCGCCCACGTGGTCATCGGCTGCGACGGCGCCTACTCGGCCATCCGCCGGGCGATGACGAAGATGCTCCTCCTCGACTACTCGCAGAAGTACATCGAGCACGGCTACCTGGAGCTGGTCATTCCGCCCACCGCGGCCGGTGAGTACGCCATGCCGCCCAACTACCTGCACATCTGGCCCCGGGGCGAGTTCATGATGATCGCCCTGCCCAACCTCGACCGCTCCTTCACCGTCACCCTCTTCATGCCCTTCAAGATCTACGACGAGGTGGGCACCGAGGAGCGGCTGCTCGCCTTCTTCGAGCGCCACTTTGCCGACTCCATTCCTCTGCTGACAAAGTGAGTGCTGCTGATAAGCTGTTTTGACAAAGTTGACATGCTGTTCTTATCAACAACTCTTTCTTATCAACCCCTTATCAGATCCGGCCTGATCGCCGCCTTCTTCAACGCCAAGCCCTCGCCGCTGATCTCCATCAAGTGCAAGCCGTACAANCTTCAACGCCAAGCCCTCGCCGCTGATCTCCATCAAGTGCAAGCCCTACAACTACCGCGACAAGGTGCTGCTGATGGGCGACGCCGCCCACGCCATGGTGCCCTTCTACGGCCAGGGTATGAACTGCGGCTTCGAGGACTGCACCGTCCTCGAGGAGCTGCTGGCCGCTTCGGGCGACAGCCCTGACTGCCAGAAGCTGCCCTCCGTCCTGGAGAAGTTCACCGCCGAGCGCGTGGCCAACTGCCACGCCATCATCGACTTGGCGATGTACAACTACGTGGAGATGCGCCACCTGGTGAATAAGCGGTCCTTCCTGCTCCGGAAACACTTCGACAACCTGATGTACCGTTTGCTGCCGGCCGGCACCTGGGTGCCCCTCTACACCATGGTCACCTTCACGCGGACGCCCTATCGGCGGTGCGTCGAGGACCGCCGGTGGCAGGACGAGGCGCTGAAGACCGCCGGCAAAGTGCTCCTCTTCGCCTTCGGCCTGCTCCTCTTCGTCGTCCTCTCCAAGGTGCTGGACGAGGGGGCGGCAGGGCCGGCGCTGAAGCGAGGACCGATGTTCAAGTAATAGGAGGAGAATGAGGTTAAGAAGGGTTGATAAGGTGATAAACGTGATGATGATGATGATGATGATGTGATGAGAAGGAAACACACATTTACATACACACACACACACACACACACACACCGATACTGATGAACACTACTCTGGCATAGCATTCTGTCAATGAGCAATTGACTATTTGATTACTCTACTCAACTACTTTCACTACTTTATAAGTTTTATTAATAATCTTAAGACAACTCACAATCATTAATTAACCACCACAGCTTCAGCAAACGGGACCAAATGCAAAGGACAGCAAAGTTGCTGACATTCCATTGGATAAATATTATATTGAACAGTTCGGATCTGTTCTGTTCTGCTCTGTACCTCACACACACCAAACATAACTGACACACACAGTAGTTTATTGGTTACTGTTGATCATTGAATATAAAAAATGATATTTAATACATAAGTTTACGTAATAATACAGCACTAGTGAACTTGATATGAACTGTTTTGGCCGTTTAGTGTAAACGAAAAAGTGTTTTAAGTAGTAATAAGTAAGTAGTGTGTGCTTGCTTTCCGGCAATCGGAAACATTGTGACATTTGGTTTGTTGTGGTTAAAGCTGCTAAGTTGAGCTAGTGTAACACTGCTGATGATGGTGATAAATGCTTCATGTAAACAATCACATCCGACATGGTGAATTTAGTAGTAATTCACGTCTCTGATAAACAGCAAATGTTTACAAATGTGAAAAGAAGATACAATCAGCTGTGGAAAAGTGCTCAAAAAGTTGATACAGTTTGTGTGTATGTGGGTAAAAAACAGAGTAAATAATCACATTCGAAATGATAACTATCATCAGCGGCAGAAAGCATCATATGATAATAAATGTAGAAAGAGAGAGGACATCAAAATGAACTAGAACTACTAGTCAGGGGTTAATGGCACTGCTTGAGAGGATCACTGATACAGATTAATCAGTCAACTTTGTTGTTGTTGTTGTTGTTGGTGTCAGTCTTTGGCTGGTTCATTCATTTAAATTGAAAAAACACATAAGTAAGTAGTTGAGGTTAGATTGATGTGACGCGCAGAAAAGCATTGTTTGGTCTTGGCGCCGGTGATTTAGTTGTAGAAGTAGTGTAACAAAGCTCATTGTTATTGTTTGCAATAACACTGTTGTCAGCACTATTGTCACTTTTTGGAATGTACTCAAAACTTTCGTTTGACAGCGATGTTGAGGATGGCTGTGACGATGATGCTGCTGTTGTTGTTTTTGAAGGTGGTGGTAGTGATACTGAAAACTCCGTCTCAGCGGGTGACACTGAATGATCACCGCTATCAAAACTCCTCAGTGCAAACACCTTTAACCAGAGGCACTTAAGTTTAGCAAGCACAGAGCGCCCTTCACTGCGAGACGGCGCTCCGAAGATGCTCAGAAGACTCTGTAAAAGGAAAAAATTGAAAAAGGCAAAAGTTAATAAACTAAATGCAAAATTCATATCAAAAAACCCTTACCAGGTGAAAGAGCGTGGAGAAGAGCCAACTGACGACACTGAGCACCATGAGGAAGGTGCCAATTTGAACGTAGGCGAGAATGCTGGAGAAGAGCTGCATCACCGAGCCGGCCAAAAAAGTGGTAAGGGCGCCCATCGCCACCGGGCTGCCCACGCGGGCCAGCGTCATCTGAATGCCCAGCAGGTGGTTTCCCTGATCAAATAGTAGCAACAAAAGATAACATAGATTTTAGATTTAATTTTAAATCTAAAAACCCCATTTTTCTCTCCCTCATTTACCTTGGCCAGCATTCGGTAGACGATGGTGTAGTGCAGCGTGGCGTCAATCGCCAGGCCAATCGTCAGCGAGATGGTGATGCTCTCAATTACATTGAGCCGCCAGTCTACCAGCACCACCAGCGCTCCGATGGTGGTAAAGATGGTGCAGGCGATGGAAAGTGTGGACAGAAGCGAAAGTCGAAGGCTGGCCGTGGTTAAGACTAAAGTAGCAAAAGCCAGCCCCACGGAGATGACCAGCGAGCGGTGGACGCCCGCCGAGAGGGCACTCTGCAGGGCGAAGAACTCCGAGCTGCCGGTGACGAACCAGCCGCTACCGCGAAGGCCTTCCGGCGCCGTGGCCAACTGCTCGGCCAGCCACTGGTCAACTGACCGCCAAAAGGTGGCCATCTCTTCGAAGGAACGGCCAGTGGTGAAGGCGTCAAAGACCGAGTCGTACTCGATGACCACCGCTTTCACCCGAGGAGGAGAAGGAGAAGGAGAAGGAGAAGGAGAAGGAGAAGAAATAGGAGTTGAAGTTGAGCCTTGAAGATGATGGCTTTGATTTGAAGCAGCCTGGCGTGGTTTCGGTGCCTCAAACCTCGGCCCTGCACTTCGGCCGTTGAGGGTGAACAGATAGCTGGGCGTCCGGTGAAGTCGCTCCACCACCTCCACCAGACAGCGGTCAAAAACCGCCGGCTGGTAGGGAAAGGTTGAAGCCTGGCAGCAGGGAAAGCGGTCTTCGATTTCCACTTCCGTTTCGTCCTCTTTTGAAGTATTAAACGATGAGGAAGAGGAAAAGGAAGAACTTCCTATCACTTCCTCCCTGCACCGTCGCTCCTCCATCCACGACTTGAAGGTCTCGATGAAGCAGTTGCTGAGCAGCGGGCCCATGGTCGGCCGGAAGAAGGGCTGCGCCCGGAGGTCGGTGCAGAGGGCGAGCAGCCACTGCTGCGACTCGGGGCTGCTCAGGTTAAAAGCGGGGTCAAAGGTCAGCGCGCCCCGCCGGAAGGGGTCCAGGTGGTCGCCGGTGTCTAGGGGGAGGACGCCGAAGACAATGCGGATTGGCAGGACGAGGTTGTTGTTGTTGTTGTTTGTTAGAGGTTGGTGATGATTAGGTGAGGTGGTACTTTTGGGAAGACTGCTTGAACTACTTGGAGTTTGGGAGTTTGGCGGCTTTTCAACACTGAGCCGACTGAACCAGAACTCGTGTTGGTACTTTAGATCGTATCGCTCAAAAAGATGCGCCGAACTGAACACTTGAAACTCCGCCGTGGTGGGCAGCTGGAGGCCAGGTTTGTAGAAGACGGTTAGGCTGGAGACGAGAGCGAGCAGAAGGAAAGTCACCGTCAAAAGGTGGCGGTAGTTGAACACTAGGCGAAGGATCACCCTTTGAAAGAGAAAGGTCGAGAAGGCGTCCGCCTTGGAGCTCCATCGACTAAGCAGTTTAGGTTTTAGCAAATTCAAAGGTCTGCCACCACTATTTCCGCCAACACTTCTTCGTTTCTCAGCTCTGTTTGCTTCATAGCCAAAGTAGGTCGTCCTTGAGTTGTTTTCATTTCTATCACCACGACAACAGCACCAACACCACCACTGCCACCAGCGCTCTGAGACGATAATCGACGCCGGAAAGGTGATGACGGTGATGATGAAGTTGCAGGCGATGGCAATGCCGGCGAAAAGGGCAAAACACCGCAGCGAGGTGATCGAGGTAAAGTAGCCGGCAAAGAAGGCCGCACAGGTGGTCAAACTGGCGCAAAAAGTCGAGGTCAGCACGTGGAAGAGGGCAGTGGACAGCAGCTGCTGCTGATGATGTTGATGATAAGAAGAAGAAGATTTTGAGGCACTTTTGTTGATAACAGAAGGTGTTGTTGCTGATAAACTGCTGTTGTTTCTATCAAAACCTCCTCCGCTGCCACCGCCGTTACTGTTTTCCCGCACCAGCATCGCCACACAGGACCAGGCCTTGCAGTAAATGAGCGCATTGTCGGAGCCAATGCCAATCAGAATGATCAACGAAAGGAGGTTGAGAAAGGGAAAAAAGGCGACGCCGAAGAGGACACTGTAGAGGTAGTAGGCGGTGCCCAGGGAGGCGATGTTTGTTAGGAGAGCGGTGGCCGTCAGCAGCAGCGATCCAGTGTACGCCAGCAGCGAGCCGAAGATGATCGTCGAGGAGAGGGCCAGAAGCGCCAGGTCGGAGACGAGGGCCTCGCTGAAGAGGCTCTCCTTGCAGCCGAGGTCGGCGGCCACCACCTGGACACTGCCCGCCCTCAGGTCTTTGATCGGGGTCATCTGCGAAGGTGGTGGTAATTTGGTGGTGGTAGTGTTTTTAGTAGAAGAAGAAGATGATGATGATGATGATGATGGTGATGATGATGATGATGATGATGATGGTGGTGGTGGTGGTAGTGGTGACAAGGTGCTCTGTCGAAGTTGAGTGATGGCTCGGTAGTAGGCGAGCAGTTTGCTGCTCTTGGCCATTGGCAGGAAGATGCTCGTCGATGAGAGGTGGTAGTGAAAAGGAAGAGAAGGAGGTGGCTGCTGCTGCTGCTGATAAATGCCATTGTTAAGTTGAAAACCTTTAGAACTGGTGGCTGTAGAGGTATTTGATAAAAACTGCTGCCCCTGCTCTTTCAGCTGATGGACGTTCAGAAAGCGAAAGTCCACCAGGTAGTGAAAGACCGTGAAGACCAGGTTTTCATGCGCCGTACAGTGCTCGGGAACGTTTGGACAGGCGGCTCTGCCCTCTGTGGAGCATTCTTCACTGAGGTAGTTCTCCGCGTAGAAGGGCGCACAGTCGGCCAGCAGGCGGACAAAGTTGGTCACATCCGCCTCGGTAATCTGCCGGCAGTCATCCTCCTCCTCCGCCTTCTTTCCCGCCAGCAGGAGAATGTAGTTGGGCACTGACCAGCTGCGACAGCACCGGCCCTCGCCGCCTCGGGTTTCGCAGTACTGCGAAAAGTGGAAGTACGGCCCCGGTTTTGAGCTGTTTTCATTAGCTTTTGAAGAAGTTTTAGTGCTGTTTCTGTCATTGTTTTGATGCTTAGTTTGAGATGTGTCAGCTAAGGGAGCCTGTCCGCCCAATCGCAGGACGACCGAGTCCAGTGTACAGAGGTCTCGAATTGACTGCAGCTCGAGAAGACCTTTGCTTAAGTCATTCACTTCTGCTGTTGAAGATGATGATGTGGTAATAGGAGGGGATTTTCCAAAGTTCTGCTTCTGTTTTTGCCCAACCGTCGGCTCAACAACAAACTGAGCGTAGTCCTCGAGTAGTTTGCCGCAAAAGAAGCTTTCCGAGGGGGCGTGAGCTTTAGAGTTAAAGGGATCGCCTCTACCTCCACCTTCACCTTTACCACTGGTGGGAATGCGATCATCATCACCATCATCACCATCGTTGCTGTTGTTGTGGTCCACATCTTCATCGCTGTCCACGCTTTTAGTATCATGTGAACTTTTAGGCTTTATTTCCAGCATAGCTGAGGATGATGTTGTGGGAGTTGTCGTGGTCGTCGTCGTAGTTGACCGGTGTTTACTGTTGCGGCGCCTGCTGTTCTGCTTTCGACGTTTTCCATTTCGAAATTGATTTCTCCTTTTAGGTTTAGCTGTAGCTGTGGCTGTAACTGTAGCTGCAGGAAAGTCGTCAGCAGTGGCCACCGTCGTCGTCGTCGTCGTCGTCGTCGTCGACTCCAGCAGAAGACTAGATGCTTTCTGAGAATTAGCCGACTGTTTGCCGACAGCAGCAACAGCAACAACAGCCGGAGCCAGATTTGCTGCCGAGTTTTTGACTGCTGCTGTGGTTTTGCTGGGCCTGTGATGCTGCGGCTGGCGGTTCACTGCCGCCGCTGATGAGGATGATGATGATGAAGTTGAGGTTGATGATAGAGATGGAGATAATGGTGGATCATCAAATCGTTCTTTTTCTAAATGCAAGCCATTTTCTCCTCCCTGTTGATTAGGGTAGAGGCTGAGCGGCCCATTCCAGGCGGTGGCCTCCGTCAGCAGGCGCCAGGTGTTGAGGCGTCGGGCGAGGTCGGTGTCCCTTACCTCGAAGCCGACCAGCGGGTCCTCGAAGGAGGGCAGGCCGCGGTGGAGCAGCGTCCAGCCGAGCAGCGACAGGCTGACAGAGAAGGTGCCCAGGATCCACAGCAGCGGACAGGCGCCAATCAGACGGTAGTAGTAGTGCCTGCAGATCGGTGATCACAAGAAGAAGAACACAAAAGGTTAGGTTTACTCACCACCACCACTAACACTGCTTATCAACAGCAGCAGCAGCTCTGCATTCACTTACATGCTCAGACAAAGGCTATGCTAAAGATAAGCGTTGATAAGCACAAACAGCTTTAGGGTTTGGAAAGCAGCAGCAGCAGGTCAACCATGGCCGCCGACACTCGATGTGTTTTCAAAAAAACTTTTTTAGTGCAAGCACACAAAAAAGCCTTTGAGGCACAACAACAGCAGCAAAGCTCTACTTTTCACTTCGGCATCTTTTTTGTTTGTTCTTCAGTTTCGTTTTTGTTCTTTTGGCACATTAAGCGTAAGTCAGCAGGCTGAGGAGAAAGGTAACAGCAGTGGTTTTTTTGTAGATTAGTCAAACTCATTTCATCCGTTTTTTACCCAGGGAAAACTTACTAATCAATTTGACGCTTACCGAATTGCCGAAACAAACAGGCAGGCGGGCAGGCAGACAGGCAGACAGGCAGGCAGGCAGGCAGGCAGCAAAGCATTGGCAACAATGTAATGTGAGTGTGAGTAGTAAGTAGTGAGTAAGGTGCCAGAGAAGAGAGAATGCAGCCACAGGTTCTACTACTAGTGTTGCTGCTGCTGCTACCACCACCACTGCTACTAGCACTCATTTTGTTCACTTTCCTTGCCACCACTGCCCACTTAAACTGCCGTCACCGGTTGCACCACTGCCACCACCACAGCTGTCACTTACTGCCGTTTTGTTTGCAGTGGACAGGCAACCGCCGCCGCCACCGCCGCATTCCATTCCATTTCGCACTCAGCACAGTAGCACAGAAACACAAAAGAGCGTGACGAGTAGCGCACTCTGCTGCTTCAGTGGGAAAGAGAGACAGAGGCAGGCTGCAACAGAATGTCAAATCGGAGCTTCAAAAAATGTTAGCTAGTAAAAAGTATAAAAATTGTGGTGAGCAATTTCTTTTTGAATCAGTGTCCAGAATCAGTTCTCCTTAATAAGGATTACCGTTCTACTTTGAGATAACAAAATGGATTGAAAAGGATTGAAGCTGGCTATTAATTATTGAGCAATTTTTACGGTATAATGGATACAAACGAAACACTGTGATATGCAGCATTTAGTCTAGGTTTGAAGTTTTTTGGTTTGTTTTGCTTTACCTCAAACTAAACGCTTCAAACTGCCGTTGATATTGACCTTTCTCTATTCTTTTTAGTTTTAGCAATGTTTTAAAAATAGATCAATGTTGATAGTGTGTATAAATCCGATTGGTTAAAAACGAGTTTTTTGCACACTTGATAAACTTAAAAAAATTTAAACATTTGTTTTAAAACAGCAACAGCAGAAAAGCAAATTTTTATTAGATATTCAATGTAAGATGGGATAAATTGCGTGCTTGATTGAAACACAAAGTGATTTGTTAATTTGAATGTCCTTAGTGTGTGCATGTGTGTGTGTGTGTGTGTGTGTTGGATGTTGGCGTTGGGTAAGTTTTAAGTTCTTTTACTGGAATGTCAATAAAACTACTCAGTGATAAGCTTAGTAACAGTAAAAATATTACTTGTGAAATTTTGTCTAATACAACATAGGGAAAAATATCAGCTTTGTTAAAAAACAAAATAAACAAATGAATTTTTTGTGTAGTGGTTTTTTGTTTTGATAAAAAGAATCTTGAGTTTGATAGGAAAATAAATAAATAATAAAGAAATTAAATGATGATGATGATTATGATGGGAGTGAAGGGAAATTAAAAAAAGAAAAGTTGTGAAAGCGTTTATTGAGGAGGAGGATACCGGGAAGAACAACGGGAAAAGAAGAAGAAGAAGTAATCTGCAGTAATCAGTAATTACTTTAAAATCACTCAAATTAATGAAAAAAGAAAACAAAAAAAAGGAATCGCCGCAATGGGCGTACATATGTCAGTGAGAAGAAGAAGAAGGAAATGATGATCGTTGTGAGGAAATGTGAAAACTTTAAATTTTTTTGTTGGGAGTTTTATGGCCTGAAAAAACGAATGATGTGTCAACTGTGACTGCTGCAAACGGGAGTGTCTGGTGTTGGAATGTGAGGAGAAAAAAGAGGAAGAAGGAGATTAGATTGGAAAAGGATTGTCTAAAATCTGAGGGAAGTGACTGGGATGTGTGTATGTGTGTGTGTGTGTGTGGTTGATTAAAAGAAAGAAAACAAACAACAACAACAATAGAAATTGAGTGAAACTGTGACTGTGTGTGTGTGTGTGTGTGTGTGTGTGTGTGTGTTTATGTCTGTCTGGAATGTCTAGAAGTTTGGTGGAATAATTATCCATCAGCATCAGCATCAGCCTTTTTTCTGAAAAAAGAGAGATCCAAAGAAATTGACATCATGGTCAGGTGTGGACAGTATGGCAGCAACTTTCCCCACTACAACTGATGATGTTACTTTTTTTCCCCTCCTCTTCTCTTTGCTTAAAAGTGTCGTCCTCGAGCCCACTGCAACAGGTAGTCCGCAAGTACATCCAAATGGGCTTTCGTCTAGAGGGTGAAAAAAAACAGAGAAAAAGGGTCAAAATTAGAGCAGCCACAAAATTAGGTCAACGACTGATTGAACAGCAACAACAACAGCAACAACAGCAACAACAGCAACACTCTTTTGGTTATTTGATGCCTGGCAGGGGGGGGGGCAAACAGCTTTGCATAAGCACAACAACAAATCAGTTCCGTTTTTTTCTTCCCTTTCTCTTTTTCTTCAATCCCTTGAGCCTGCTCTGTTGATTGTTGTTACTACACTACACTGCACACTACACAGACACTACAACCACTTACACTCTTGTAGAACATGCAGGACATGGTGTCCTCATCCTCGCCCCTCGGACAGTCGGTGTAGCCATTGCAGATGTGCTGGTCGTCGATGCACAGAAAGCGGCCGTACGCGTCGGCAGTGGGACAGGCGAAGCGGTCGACGCCGTTCTCCGTCGAGGGACAGTCTAAAAAGGTTGGGAAGAAAAAAAAGAAAGAAAAAAAGAAGAGAAAGTGTTAACCTAAAGGTGAATGCGGAAGTCGGGTACTCTCGTTGCTGCTGCTGATCGGTAATGGACAGCAGTGGAAAATAGGGAGAAGGAGGAGAAGTGTTTGCAAATACAAATCACAAAAAAAGGTTGCAAAATATAACGCA